TTTACTTCTGTCATACTATCGTAGCACCATTGAGAGTGTCCCAACCTATGGCATTCTGGCATGGTTTGGGAGTAGCTCTGTAGCGGACAAAAAAGCTCTACAGAGAACCATTAAAATTGCCCAGAATATCATCGGGCTCTGTGAATTCTATAAATATCTGTGCGTGTACTTATAATTTAGTACCAGTCAATGGACAGTGTGGCCCAGAATGCTATATGTAGCATGCAGTCACAGAAACCATTTGTGCAAAATTTGACTGTATTATGTCCCTCTCAATTTAACAAGCAGCAGTCTAGCAGTTATGTAGTAGGTTACAGTGCTGAAATATGTGTCAAAACCAGATGGTTTTATATTGCACTATATGCAGTTACATAGATGTTATTGAATGGCCAACGTGATAATGGCATTCCAATAAGTAAATATCCCCAGCAATTAAAAGTTTAAATATTCCTTTGATCCATTGACTCTGGATGCTCCTCTTCGAAAGCTAACATTCCATGGTTGACAAAGCATCACAGTCTGACTTTAGGCAATCAAATGGTGAGGCATTACTTCATTACTATCACTTTATGAACACAAAAACAGACTGCATGTGGAATATTATTAACAAAAGTTTGTATTACATGTGTACAATATGTTATTTCATTATTTTGTATTAGTTAGAGTACTGAAGTTTTATCATTGTTGCCTTTCTTGTCTTAAAACTTCTTCTGCACAGAAGAAAAATCTGCAACTCCAACCATATATTCCTTACATGACCTATTTTTTAAAAAATCAAAACATTATTCGTTTTTTAAAAGCCTATATTCACTTTATTCTATATTAATTTCATTAATATTCTAAATTTACTCTCATTACACATGCATGCAATTCAAGCACAAAAGCACTGGCATATGGAATAATTAGCACAGTATTTTCACAGAACATTACAATATTGCATTTCAATCAGGACCTGAATGCTGTTGCATTTTGACTTAATGCAGATGCAGTAACTTCTCTGAATTTAACATTAACAAGTTAAGGAGCAAAACCCGGACTCTCTTCTCTTGCTTTCTACACTAATCCCAATCTCTTTGTCTTTCAGCATCAGTCACAGAATAGCAGTTGATCTGCATTAACCCTAACCATTGTTAGTGTAAAAGAAGAGCATAAAGCTATGGTCTAAAGCTAGTATGCAAAACCTTCATAAAAGTAACTATGATTAGTATAGTGCAGATGTAAAACCTACATTATATTAATGCGAGAAAAGGAAGGGAATATATGATGGGTAAAAGGAAGAAAGGGAATACCTCAATTGAAAGACTAAAAAACCTTAAGTACAATCATGCCTCGCTTTACGATTGCCCCGCATTATGGTGAAACCGCATTACAACTATCTTTTTGCGATCGCAAAACGATAGTCTAAATGGGGTTTTTTAGCTTTGCGATTATTGGTTCCCTGCTTCGGGAACCTATTCTTTGCAAAATGACGATTTTAAAACAGCTGATCAGCAGTTTCAAAATGGCCGCCGGGTAAACAAAATGGCTCCCCGCTGTTTTCTGGGACGGATTCCTCGCAAGACAGGCAGCGAAAACGGCTGCCCTATGGAGGATCTTCACTGGACGGTGAGTTTTGAACCCATTGGAACGCACTGAAGGGGCTTCAATGTGTTTCAATTGGGGTTTTTTTTCGCTTTACAATGTTTTCGCTTAACAGCGATTTTCCTGGAACTGTATGTCTGAGATCAGAGGCTAAAATATGCAATGGTCATGTCCTGAGATAATTGAACATTGTTTCACAATGCTGTCTTTCAAAACCAAACACTTTCCTTTTCAAAGGAAGAGGACAGATGTCTTCCAGTTCCGTTCTCTGCTGTAGCCTTTGCTAAGCTGTAAGATGCAAGCACCACTAATATTGCTTTGTGATCTCTTTTTTATCAATCTAGTTCTGAGACTAATATATGAAACCAAGTAAGGTAAAGGTAAAGGTTTCCCTTGACATTTAGTCCAGTCGTGTCCGACTTTAGGGGTGGTGCTCATCCCCATTTCCAAGACGTAGAGCCAGCATTTGTCCAAAGACAGTGGCCAGCGCGACTAGACACGGAACACCATTACCTTCCCACCATGGTGGTACCTATTTATCTACTCGCATTTGCATGCTTTCTAATTGCTAGTTTGGCAGGAGCTGGAACAAGTGATGGGAGCTCACTCCACCACGTGGACTTGATCTTATGACTGCTGGTCTTCCGACCTTGCAGCACAGAGGCTTCTGCGGTTTAACCTGCAGCACCACCACGCCCCTCCATGAAACCAAGTAGCACACTGTAAAAAGCAGCTAAGGGAGAAATGGTTTGTTAAACTCTTTCCAATGACTCTTAAGAGCCACCTTTTAAAGTAAACTGCAAAGCAAGACTGTTCATCTGCTTTTGCAAAACATCACTTCATAACAGAGCCTGTTCTACTACAATGCAAATTTTATGAAGGAAGCATGATCCAGTGCCAGAACTGGACTGTAACAGATCCACATAGCCAATTAATACTTACAGAACTGGACTGTAACAGATCCACATATCCAGTTAATACTTACACTTCTTCTTTAAGAGCTCTGAGGAAAGACTCTACAGATTCCTCCGATATTTCCTCATCTAAGCTTGACAGGTAGGAATAGATATATGCAAAGGTATCATATGGAATGCGGGCTGCTCCTCCCTCTGGATCATTTGTTAGAATTTCACAGGCATGCTTCATGGAACTGAGCAAAGACTGAGAAGATCCAAAACAATCAAACACTACTGCCTTCTGCATGAGAACACAAGGCAAATTCAGATGTTCACTCTTGGCTGTTCTGATACTGTACATATAGCTCAAGATATGTAGCCACCAGGACAGCTAATTCAGGAATAAAGCACATATCGTGGATATGCACAGAAAGGACCTTAATTCCAATTTAACTTCTATTACAGTTAATTCCAGATAAAGTTTACATGGAAGTGATCTGTTCACCCGGATGTGACCTACAAAAGTCACTTCAGAGAACAAGCACTTGCTACCAAATAATGTGGAAACAGTCTTTTGTGGTAACTGTACATGTGTCTGGTTACCACACAAGAACTTCTGCTTTATTTGGCTACAAAAAAATAAGCAAAATATTGAAACTAGTGACACACAGGCTTAAAAAAAACTATTCAGTTTCAATATACAATTTTCATTTTGGATAAGAAAGACTTTGTCAAGTCTACGTACCCCACCAAGCGCACTGCAACCAAGTGCAAAAAATTTCATCCATTCCACTCCATCTACAAAGTTGTCCAGGTGCAGGAGGTTGTACAGCTGTGCCATTGGCAAGCATAAGTTCTTCCATTTTTTCTGGAGTTCTGATGTCTCTATAGTTCCCTTTTCAGAAAGCTTGGGGGGAGGAATATCATATATGAAACTCAAAGCATCATCTTGATAAATTACCTAGAACATTCATTTAGACAGCATGAACCATGTAAAATCTCTGGGCTATTTTTTCCAGGATTCAGTTCTTTTTGCAAATTCCGTAGACAAGTACTGCAACAACTTTTTTACCTGTTTATGCAAAATTTTAAGGAGTCCTGGTGTCAGACCTGTGTCATTTTTCTGTGTGGCCACTGGCAGTTCAACACGTTCCTTCACAGGAAGTGGTTCTCCCTTTGACATAGCATAAAAATATCTAATGACAGGACAAATACAAAAATAAGGTTACTGTTAAAAACAGAAAAAACAAATATAGTTAAACGTTTCAAAATCAGGATATGAACAGAAGATCCATGTTGCACACACACTATGTAAATGAAAGACTAGCAATCCTTTAGAATGTGAAACTGATTTTTTTTGTTGGGGTCACTGCAAACTGGAAGGATTAACCCCCTTTGTGAAAGCAGTTAATATGCATCTCACACTTCCTTCTTTACAGACATTATGATAATTAGGAATGACAAGATTTTCAACATTCAGTTATCTTTGTGATGATTATGTCTAACCACCAAAGAGTGTGAATCAAATTAGCAAGTTTATACTGATTGTCAATGGACCCATGGATGCACATTTCTGTGCATTTACCATACTGTATCATGATGTTTGTTTGGTTTATAGTGAACTGAACAACTGCATACAGTGGGGCCTTGACTTACGGACATCCCTACTTACGAAAAATGTGACTTACGAAAAGCTCTGGCCACAAAATTCTGCTTCGACTTGTGACCGGAGCTTCCACTTACAAATGGAAAAAAAACAGGGGAAAGGGGCGGGAAAGTCAAACCGTTGGTGGCAAAGAGGCTGCTTCTTTGTAGCTCTTTCACCCCAACAGTTAGGAAAAGGGAGGCTCAGCCTCCCGGGCTTCCAGCGCCACTGTGACAGCTGCCACCAGAGACCTCCTGGGGTTCGCCGCCGCCGTGACTGCCGCTGCCAGAGGCCTCCCCACCACCACTGGAAGCTTCCTGGGCTTCCCCGCCAACGCCAGAGGCCTCCCAACCTTCCCCACCGCCACTGGAGGCTTCCCGGGCTTCCCCACCACTGTGACCGCCGCCGCCAGAGGCCTCCCAACCTTTCTCGCCACCGCCACAGGCTTCCCAGCCTTACGTTGGGCTTATCAGCAGTGGTTTCGGCGGCAGAAAAGCTGTGTGGCGGCGGAGAAAGGCCGGGTTGGCTCCCAGAGGGCTCCCGCCAACCACAGTTTCGGCGGTGGTGGAGCCCACGCGGCTGAGCATGGCCAGGAGGCTTCATGGTGAGGTAAGGTGCCACTTTTTGCATTTTTTAAACTGTTTTGGGTGGTTTTTGCAGGGTAGAATTGGGCTGATGGGGTTATGTTTACATTTATTTTTAGATTTATTTATTTTTTGCAGGCCCAGGGGCTTGCAGTGTTTTATTTTTATTTGGGGGGTGGGGTTAGTTTTTTCTTCAACTGGAAGGGATTAATCGGTTTTCAATGCATTCCTATGGGAAATGATGCTTCAACTTACGAAAATTTCAACTTACGGCCATTGTTCCAATACGGATTAATTTTGTAAGTCGAGGCACCACTGTATTTTGATTGCAAACAGGGCCATGCATCCACGACTCAATCCAACAAAGGCAACTGGTGCAGAAATACAGATTTCATTTATATTAATCACTCTTCTGGATTGATATAGAGACCACTAAAGATTTCTGTGACATAGCAGCCAGCTCTCAGTGCACTCTTTAAAAATAAGAGCCATTTTGGCAGCTGAATCTAGCCATTTCAGTGGCTGAATCAACTTTTTTTACTCACCCATAAGACCACTGGAGTACATCACGTGGTTGGGTCCTAATAGCAGCCTTGGTAAACTGCTTCATAATATCTGGCAGTTCAGGAGGAATATGAATCTGCTGTGCACAGAACATAACATCTGGAACAGGCATGGTTACTCCAGATCCTAAACCAGAATCTTAAAAGAACTGAAAAGAACGTTATCATTCAGTAAATACATTTTATTATATTCTCTACATATAGCTGACTTGCAATTAGAAAAACCATCAAGTGTATAACACTCTTGTCTCCCACTTTTCTTGTTTTATATAAACTGCAACCCTGCAAGGTAGATGGTAGGAGGAAGTACGTGCTGGGCTTGCACAGGACAGCATACAGTTATCCCATTTTGTCTTCAAAATAATATTCAAGATAGACTAGGATAAAAGAGAACAATTTCCCCAAAAGAAACCCAGGTAAGATTCACAGTTGAATTAAATCTAGTTTTGGTCTCTCCTTTTAAATAACAAGATTTAACCATTATTTACCATATTTGGTTATTCACTAGGAAAAAACCAGGGAAACTTGTCCCATACCAATATAACAACACACTTTAAGATTACATAGTAAAACAAGGATTATGGCTTAAATATTTCAGTAACAGATATCCACTTTTGTTAGAGGGTTTCCACTTCTGTGTGATTATTTGACAGAAAGCCATATACATTGTACTGCTTTAAAGCCTCCTGAATAAACCACCACTGCTGGATCAGGCAACAAGTCTACTTAGCTCAGCACTAGTAGTGTCTCCAATAGTGGCCTTCCAGATGCCTTGGGGAAGTTCAAAAGCAGTGTATAACAAAGAAAGTATTTATCTGATGCTATAATAAATAATAATCAGTTTATCATCTGATGAACCTAAAATTAAAATTTGAATCTATTTCTTTTGTTGTTTGTTTAGTCGTCAAGTCGTGTCTGACTCTTCGTGACCTCATGGACCAGAGCATGCCAAGCCCTCCTGTCTTCCAACCTCTTAGAGCTGGGTCAAATTCATGTTGATAACTTTGGTGACACTGTCCAACCATCTCATCCTCCGTCGTCCCCTTTTCTTCTTTCCTTCACACTTTCCTAACATCAGGGTCTTTTCTCTTCTCATGAGATGGCCAAAGTATTGGGGCCTTAGCTTCAGGATCTATCCTTCCAGTAAGCACTCAGGGTTGATTTCTTTCAAAATGGATAGGGTTGTTTTCTTTGCAGTCCAGGGGATCTCAAGAGTCTCCTCCAGCACCACAATTCAAAAGCATCAATTCTTCGGCGATCAGCCTTCTTTATGGTCGTTCTCCCATGCATTGATACTGGAAAAACCATAGCTTTGACTATGTGGATCTTTGTTGGCCAAGTGATGTTTCTGCTTTTTAAGATGCTGTCTAGGTTTGTCATTGCTCTCCTCCCAAGAAGCAGGCGTCTTTTAATTTTGTGGCTGCTGTCACCATCTGCAGTGATCATGGAACCCAAGAAAGTAAAATCTGTCACTGCTTCCATATCTTCCCCTTCTATTTGCCAGGAGGTGATGGGAGCAGTGGCCATGAACTTAGTTTTTTTGATGTTGAGCTTCAGACTGTTTTTTGCCCTCTCCTCTTTCACCATCATTAAGACGTTCCTTAATTCCTCCTCACTTTCTGCCATCAGAGTGGTATCATCTGCATATCGGAGGTTGTTGATATTTCTTCCGGCAATCTTAATTCCAGTTTGGGACTCATCCAGTCCTGCCTTTTGCATGATGTATTCTGCATATAAGTTAAATAAGCAGGAAGACAATATATAGCCTTGTCATACTACTCTCCCAATTTTGAACCAATCATTTGTTCCATATCCAGTTCTAACTGTTGCTTCCTGTCCCACAAATAGATTTCTCAGGAGATAGATAATTTAAAACTCAACTAAAAACATGGCTCTATGTCAAGGCCTTCCCTCCTGCCAGCATTTAATCTAATTTAATTTATCTTTCTTTCCTTATCTATCTATTATTTATGATTTATGTTATGTTTTGTTAATTGATATTTTGGAATTATGTTACTATAATTGTATATATGTTGTTGTTCGCCGCTCAGAGTGGTATAGATTTATCAGATGGGCGGGATATATATATAAATAAACTGCTTGTGTGGGGGTTCGTACTTTGCCTCCCCTAGTTTTGACTGAGATTCTGGAGACACTCATGTTGAAAAATCATAACTAGCTTTTATTGGAATGTGTAACAATAAATCCTTTTGTCCAAACTCAGCTTCTGCAGTTTCTCTCATCTCCAACGGGTCCAGCAAGGGCATCCAAACGTCTTTAACAAAGGGGTTACAGCTCAACTCATCCCAAAGTTCTTTCAAAAACGGATTACTGTTTTCCAACTCAGAAGTCTCTATCTCAAGGTTTAGTAATGGGGTGGTCTCTTCATCTCGCACCTCCATCCCGTAAGAGTCTTCCTCTCCTCATAGAGGGGTCCATGGTCTGTTAAGTACCCCCTCCTCTGGGCTTCTTCCAGACACCATGCTCGGCGCTCTCTCTCTCTCTTCCCTGTCTACTGCCTCCTCCTCCTCTCTGAGTCGCCTGTGACACTCTCTGGCCTCAAACTCCCCCCAATAAGAAGGACGCTGCAGTAGACGCCTTCTTCTTCGGTAATCAGCTTCCCCTCTGTGAACGTGTACCTTCTCCCATTTCCCAGTCCAAGGGTCTTCTACCCATATCATTTCCCAACCTCCTGGTATTACGTCTGCCTCCCGTTATATTTCCCATTCCTGCCTCTACGACAGACTTCTCCCCGTCTCCCCTTCGCTCCAATTCATCCCGTCTGGGTGACCACTGTCATCTTTAACAGTTCCCGCTCCAATTCCCGGGTATCAACTCCCTGCTGTTTGGTCTTGATGGGTGGTGCAGGCGGGTTTGTCCTCCAATTCTGTTCCTTTTTGAGGGAGCACGACACTCCAGCGAGAGCCTTCACACTCTCGCCTGCTGTTTCACAGCTTGCTATGTGAATTTTTGTGGCAACCGGAATATCAAATCATTTCACAGGTTAAGAGACCAGAAAATTCGAGACAACTACAGCAGATGCTGCTCCTGGACCAAATGGGGAGGGCCCTCTTCCCACAATTTCAGAAGAGACATCTCTCCTAACCCCCCCCCCCATGAGTCACCCATAAATTACAGGATCACCTAATTTGAAAGCAGACCAACGTCTCCCTACTTTTGTGTCCTGAGGATAAAGGCACAGATTTACATTGCATTGACTGTATGGGAGAAGTATTCAGGGGCAGTTCTCTGCTTCCACAGTTCTGGGCTCTCAAGGTAATTGAGAAAAAGGGGCCCATCGGTGCCGCCCTGAACTCTTGGTGAAAAGCAGAAATATCAACAAATAAATAAGCTGATAAATAAGACAAGTCTAGGTAGGCTGGAGATACTGTTTTTACCTATTGTAGGAAGCCCCCTCGCCCCCTCTTTTTAACAATCTACGCTTAAAATCCGCGTGTACACATTTTAAACAAAAGACACGTTATCTGGGGACTGCAGGCGACATCCCACCACAAATCTAGACTGGCTGTCTCCAAATCGTGAACTGGGCTGACATTTCTGCCTTTGGATGGAGAGATTTTTTTGGCTCACGGGATGCCCTTGTGAGCTCAGCACGCACTTCCTCCTACCACCCACCTCGCAGGGTTGTGGTTTAGATAAAACAGGGCGGGGGAGAGTGTGCGTGTGTTCCCCCCCCCCACACACACACACACCGCCGCCGCTCCCTTCTTCAAGGTCGCAATCTCCCCCACTTCAACAACCAAAAACCCAAACGAAGAGATCCCAAAACAACAACCAAAAAAGGCAGGGGGGGCCTTGTGGGCAAAGATATTTCCTTGCCTCGGCTTCCCTCACCTTTTTGGGAACGGTTGAAGCTCACCGTTGTGTTGCTAGGGCAGCGCGTGTAAGCGGACGTGTCCGTCTCTTAGCAACTAAGAGAACCATAGAGAAGACGCGGCTCGGCTTTGGAATCTGCAAGGACTAGCCGCGCTCCGCTGCAGAGCGGAAGTACTCGCAGGCCCGACAATGGGGCTCGAGCCCATTCGCTGCCTCATACAGACAAAGGAAGACCGGCCGTTGCCGTGCAGGCGCGGCCGTTGGATTGTGTGACGTGTATGTCCGCTTATGTACCTACCAAAGTATGGGCTTCCTGCAAACACGGGGACCGAACGTAGTTCCAACTACACAATAACCTTAGCTGGAGAATTTAGGTTTATGATACCCAGTAATACTGCCCTCGTGCAAATCCCTGTTTGTGGAAATGCCGCTTTCTTGAGTCGCTACAGTTTCGGCACTGTGCTGTGGGAGCCCCTGGAAAGTCTCAATTGGGACCGTTTCAACTATCGGGCCCTAAATTACTGCGCCGTGCATCGTTAACATGACGTTGTCGCGCCATCTCAGAAGTTCAGGATAATAGCATCACCCAATGGCGCAATAAGTTCGAGACGCACATCTGCTATTTTCTGGCAATCAGACCAATACGGTTCACACAGGGCCAGAATTTGCTTTTCTGTCTCAAACTAAGTTCAGTAACTTGATTACTCCCTTCTGTTTTTGTTTTAACAAGTTTACAGCCAGCAAGTGCTTTCAACCCCGCATCAGAAATAAAGGCTGAATTTGACAGAAAAAAATCTCAAAGTGGAGTCCTCGGGTGTTATTGGACTGCAATTCCCAGAAGCCTTCACCACTTGTTGTGCTGGCCAGGATTTCTGGGAGTCGTAGTCCAAGAACCTCTGGGGACCCAAGTTTGAGAACCACTGACCTTGGAGCTGTTTTCGAAAGAGCACTGTCAGTGACATCAGAACAATTGGCCAAGATGAGTTACTTATTCTTGAGCCCTAAGAACTATCAACAAATGCTTTTTATTCCTGTATCACTAATTCTCATGCAATCTGATAAAGTCAGGATAATATCATCCAATGGTGCAATAAGCTTACCGTGTTATCCCCTACATCTGGTTTTTAAAATCTCTTTACACTGTTATTACCTATAAATGTGAACATGTCCATCAAGACTTGTTGCAAACTAAAGGCATTCAGCTTCAGTTGTGAAACATCACACAGATAACTAAAGAGCTACTTCCGTATTTTTCAAGCCTTCTTTTAAAATACTTTAATGTTTAAACAAATTGGTAGGAGACAGACAGCCATTTTAAAAATCAGTTGAAAGCTTCCCCTCACCCGCTTTGGAGCTAGGTATTAATATGAAATACAAATGAAAAGTGCTGCCTATGTAACAGCATCAATGTCAAGAAGATACAAAGAGACATCCTCTTCCTGACTAAATACAACCAAGATTTCATCCGCAGTTAGTCTTTAAAGTGCCCCAACATCTTTCTGTTTTTGCTTTTGTGTTTCTTGTTGAAATGTTTGCAGACTAACACAGCTACAACTTTAAAAACCTCTTCCTACAGTAGAAGCAGTTCTCAAAAAGCGCATTAAAAAAGTCAACATTTTTAAAAATTTGTAAATTATGTTTTATTGGTATTGAACATCTTGTTTTGAGGTGAAGATCATTAAAGTGATTATATACAACATTTTTTTACAAGATGAGCCATGGCACAGACATGAGGAAGTTGAAATATTCAATGTCAGAGAAATGTAAAATTGCACATCAGTATATGGAAATTCAGTTTTAGGTTTGGGGTGTGAGGCTGATGGATAATGATGGGCCACAAAATTAGATAGGCAGGAGGAGGGCACAGAATTCATCCTCCTCGCATATACTGATTTGCCAGTCATCTGCCATCTGCAAGTACTGAATTCTCTAAAGTACTCACAGAACTCACCTGTACATGAAGAACATTTGCCTCGAGGCAAGGTTTAAAAGCATGTACAGCAAGGGACATACACACATTTATTTCACTGTACAGTGAAATCTGCTTATATGGCAGCAATATGTACACAACAGAACATAGTGTCTATGTTACCCTCAAAACAATGTCTACAACCCTTAGGATTAGAAACTTGCTTATATACAAAGGAGACTACAGCAGTTGTGAAGACTGCACCAAATACTGAATTATGCATGCAGGGAGCCACAGAAAGATACTATTTAATTGGTACAGCTCTATATATTTAAAGAAAATGGTTAAAATGCTTACGGATAAAACAAATTTTTAAAGAGCACAACTATTTAGTTGCTGTACAATATTTGGTCATTTTCTGATTTACTGGTGAAATGCCAATCCTTTGGCAGTTGTCTTATCCACAATTACAAATACTGTAACACCTACATTCCCTTCCTAGACCTGAATGTATTCTGTGATTTCATTGCAAAGCACAGAATTCAATACCTGGAATAGAACTGGACATCCTGAAATCTCAAGGATCCCCCCCCCCAAGTCAAACAAGTTTCTAGTCCTGAAAGTAGTAAAAACTGGTGGTGAGGTGGAGGAGAAAAAAAATATCCTGGGAAATGCAGACACTTTTTTTAAAAGCCACATATAAAGACCTGCTCTTCTGTCACTAATTCACAGAGAGATGAACGGGTACAGCTGGTAATTTGTTATAAAGGGAACTGCAATGTCATTGAACACTACCAGTCACAGTCACTTTAAACAGGAGCAATAAAGCAAGTGCCAAGGCTTTTTCTTAACAAACTTTAATAATCTTCGAGGACCAAGTTGTCTGGGATAAAAACGCAAAATTACAATATACTGCAAAATGCTACAGGAAGCAGCACAGCATTGCTGGCATACCCCAGTGGTAAGACTCCTTTGATTTTTTTTTTCCAAACAAAGACTATCAAAGACAAATTTTTGTGCAACCTTCTAAACATGTCTTTTATCAGAAATGCAATATTAGGGGATAAAATACACTTTTGTACAGAAAGGTACACCATCCCACTGTAATTACATCAAAATGTGTAGCAGTTGCATGTCCAAAAGAATCAGGCACAAAAGACTCAAAATTAAGATCTGCATACAGTGAATTAATAAGCAAATGTTTTTGGCCCTCTTCTCATTATGTTTTTTTTTAAACCAAAAACTCTGTCAAAAATAAATTTCAAGAATATCGACATACTTATAGCCCCAATGCCAAAAACTGAGGTAATGCTGCAAAATACCAATAAGTAGGCCTCTTGTTGGGTAGCCCAACCCCCCATCCTACAGTATACTAGCTCTGGGCATAAGTGCAGATTGTCTGAAATCTATACTCCAAATTCCTGCACAAAACAAGGAATCAAAACGGCTGTTACCATTGTCTTTTTTCTTTCAAGCATGAAGATACATCCTGAAGCAGACAAACTTCTTCATAGTCTATTCAAAGACACATAATTAGCTACACATGATATTCAGGGACAGTCCTGAGTGGCCGTAAAACTGCATAGCATTAATGTTCCTTAATATAATGGCCAAATCCCCTTACCAAGTTATACTGGTGTAGCAAAAGCCACATACCTTCTGGAAGCAAACTGCCCCATGTTAAGAAGAGATCAGCACAGACATTTGCAGTTGCATGCTGAGTAGCATTATGGAGTAGAATTACTCAGCGTGCAACTGACAAATGTCTACAGTGATTTCTTAACTTGGGGCAATAAACCTTCAAAGCTTAACGAGGATTTATGCCAATAAACCTAAAAATTATTCACTGTTTTAAATCAGATATTGCATGTATAACCACACATATGAACTATACTTAAAGCTTTATAATTCTTCCATTTGTGTCTGTCAGAACTACTGAAATTAAAAATGCATCATTACCTGCAGGAAATAATTATATGTATAAAAGTATCTGATATTGATGAACTTGATTGGGATTTTTATTTGGTGCTATTACTGCAAAGATTAACTGATTTTTATTGTTTAATTTTTTTGGCTTCTTTTCTTCCTGCAGATAACACTATATAGGCCCTTTCCCCATAATCTACCAATCCATAAAAACAATTATCTTTATTGCCAAACAGAATTAATGCTGATAATTTCTAGATTTATAGGTGTTCTTTTTTTAATGTGAGATGGCATGAAATCTAGGGTACATTTTGCAGCAGCTTTGGTTGACAAGTTTCATGCCATTCAGAAAACAAGTCTTTCAAAGTATGTTCCATTCATTCCTCTGTGCTCTTGAATAAACATGTCAGATAACTTTCACAGTTCCCTATAGTAAATAAATCTCTGTAAGCACTTAAACCATGTACCTTCAAAGATGTTAAAAAGAAAATATTGGCTTATGCACTGCAAATGCATTCCTCCACAATCTCAGCTAATTTAAGTATTCCTGACACTTGGCGCTAATGAACTTTAAGTGCTTAGAAATTCATTAAAATGTTGTCTATCAGTGCCAAGGAATTAATAGGTGGCAGCCAGATAAGCAATATGAAAGTTGTCTGAAGGAGAAAAATTGTTGTGATCTAGCCATTACTATACAGTATTACAAACTCGGACACATGGAAAAAAACAATCTGATAACAGAAAATGTACTACAACAGTTGTGATGTCATACAAAATTATTTTTAAAAAATTCAAATGAAATTCATGTGTTTTGCCACAGCCACTTTACTGCTGACTGAAATGGTCATTTCATTTTTTCATATCGTTGATGAGTTCCCAGCTTTTCCAACATTACATTTTGGAAATGGCCAAAACCATCATAAAAATGCAGTCAATTAAAAAAAATCTGGCCTCTTGCAATTGTGGCACATATGTCAACAGAACAGCAGTCCAAAATAAAGTGACAACTAGATTTAATAAATTAATAATCTTTTAAAGATGTACAATGAACATTCATTTTTAATCCAAGGTTTTAGGGTATTGGGGTATTTACACATTTACAGATCTCAGCAATGATAACTTCAGAAAATGTAGATAAAAGGTACACAGCTTTGACTGGTCTCTGAATACCATGAGAAAGGAAGCCAAAATTAAAAGATAAAACCCAGCTGAGAGGACTATTGGGAAAGACACCCAAAGAATGAAGACCAGTCTACAAAAAAGGACACAAAGGCAAGGGAACGTCAAGTAATTCCATGTGACCATTTTTATTCTGGTGAAGACTGAGGTGGCGGTGGTGATGTCCCTTGTTTCCCAGTTTTTCGTTCATAATTCACAAGTCGTTGCCCCACAAGGTACCTAGGATTTAAAGGTTTTAAAAAAAAAGAAGAAAAAAGAAATACATTTGTACTCCACCACTTCTACAAATTCAAAATGTAGGGGACCCAGATGTGGCTATAAGAACAAGAAATATCTCTTAATAAAAACTCTCTACAACTAAAGTTGTAAAGAAAAGCTTGAACTGCTTTCAACAGCAGTAGGAAGAAAGAAATCATTTTTATCTAATCCTGAACAACTTTTGAGTGTTGGGGGGAGGGCATTGTCATCTTCACCCAGACACTGGTAGGCAATACAGTGGTGCCTCGCTTGACTATTACCTCGTCAGACGAGGAAATCGCTTAACGATGAAGTTTTTGCAATCACTTTTGCGATCGCAAAATGATGTTTTAAATGGGAAGAATTGATTCACAATGATTGGTTCCCTGCTTCAGGAACCGATTTTTCATTTTATGACGATCAGAAAACAGCTGATCATCGGGTTTCAAAATAGCTCCCCGCTGTGTTTAGGATAGATTACTCTCATTGAAGGCACCAGAAAATGGCTGCCCTATGGAGGATCTTTGCTGGACGCTGAGGTATTTCGCCCACTGGAATGCACTGAGTGGTTTTCAATGCATTTCAATGGGCTTTTTCATTTCGCTTGACGAGGACTTCACTTAGCAGTGATTTGAACGGAACGGATTATCCTCATCAAGCGAGGCACCACTTTATTCCCATTCCAAAATCAAAAAAATTATTTAAGCAGCAAAACATGTACCCAGGAGCCTCAGGGGGCTGCCATTTAAATACAATCCCCACCACAGCCTGTTTTAGGCCTGTCATATCAAGTTTGTTTTTTAAAAAGGTCTAAAATCAGGAAGCAGTTACATTCATATGGCATGGCTTACCTTTGGGCGAGCAAACAAGTTTTCCCCAGGAATGTGGGAATGAGCACACTGTATGTGGTCTGTGGGACACACTTTGCCCACCCCTAATCTAATATGACTATGCTAGTAAGCTATCTAATTTTCTTCAAACTTTAGACAATTATTACTACTGCATACTCACTTGTCATTTTTAATGTGCTCATAAAGGCGCTTGAACTGACGGACCTGGAAAGAAAGGATTCCCATCAAAACCACTACCATGAGTAGAAAAGGATAAATCCGACGTTGCACTAGGTTCTGCATTTCAGGAGTGACACCTACAAATAAGAGAGAGAGAGAGGGACAGAGTAAATTAAAGGTTAGGAGAGAGAGAGAGAGAGAGAGAATTAAAGGTTCCAATTAAGTGTTTGCATTTCAAACACTAAACTGAATTAGGATTTTAAATGAATAGTTTTGATTCACTCATTCCCCTTCCCTTTTAAATGAATTACAGGCCTGCAAATGCACTACTGAACACTGTAAAAAGGAAAAAGAGTTTATCCATATTTGTAGCAATTATGCTGATAAAACTCTTGTCAAAGCAAACGTTGGTCAAAATCCTGTTGCTTAGTATAGTAAATCACACTAGAGAAAGCCCACTGAATCAATAGAAATTTAGTGAGTAAACTCCTTAAGTTCCACTGATTCAAATGGGGCTGCTGTAATTGTGACTTACCATGCTAAAGGTACAGTTAAGAGTAGGTCCATTTGAATCTATGGAACTTGTAAACGAGGTGACGCACCAAATCCCCACTAGACCTACTCAAATACAATTTACTATTCTAAGCAACAGGATTTTGGCCACTGTTTACTTTTTTTTTCTTTACGCAGGTTGCATATTTTAAAAAGAGGATTGATAGAGTCTGTAATACTAGTATATTCTTCACATGAGGACTAAGCATGTATAGTCAACTAGAGTATCCACCAAGTCCAAACATAGCAATATCAAAGTATAATTTGTAGGTCTGGGGTATTTTTTGTGGGGTTTTCCCCTTTTGTCCTGCTCTTGTCCCTTTTACCTAATGACACTGTTTACATCAGAGCACTGGTCCCTTTATTATCAGTTCTTGTTGAGTGACCAGTGTAGAGTTTTCAAATTTAGGCCACATTCTCATCATTTTTTTTCAACTGGTAGCAGAATATTAAAAGAAAACAATAATACAGACTTCACCTACAGTTCACAAGATGGCAAGATAGCTTCAAAGTCTGCAGGTGGACCACAGGTTACATTGATTCTCCAAGTCATAATGTTAACTAGCAAATGAAACACATCTTGAAACTCTGAGCAAGACAAGAAATACAGCAAATAAAGTGGGCCTATTTATACTGAGAGGCTTGAAAAGAATGTTTCACAGAGCACTACTTCAAACTGTGGAAAGTGAATATTTGACATTGAAAAATGAGAATGATGCTTGGGTACTTCCCCTGGTTCATACAGGATCAAGATGATGAAATCTGCATGCCCATCAGCACTGTCCTTACCTAGTAAAGGTACTACACCAGAAGCTATGATGTAGGGTACACAAAGCGATAGCAACAACACTGAGATAACAGGGGCTGCAAGCTTCCGTATTATAAAATGTAAGTCAATATTTCGAATCCCGTTTGCATAAACCTGGAAGACAAAAGATAAGATGCATGAAAAGAGCTGCTGTTAGCAACCAATGTAATCACAATAGTTTTAAGAAATGGGTATATAAACAACAGTTAGAATGTTTTATCTGTTTCCCCATAACAAAACAAAACAAAAAGATATTTCTAACCTGTTCAATAACAGTTTTCAGCCACCACTGAGGACCCATAAGAGTTATGGCAGCAATTATTTTGGCATGAAGAACACCAAGAGCCCAGTCCTAGTTCAAAACAAAAAAATTGCTATGATTACTTTTACATCATCGATATGCATAATACTTTGCACATTATAAGAAGGCTTACCAGCTGACACAAGGATACAACAGAGGAAGAGGTGGAAGATGCAGGATGGGATAAATATTGGAGGTTTCTTGTATCAGTCGCACATATTTAGACTTAGTTACCATACAAAATGCAGGTACACCAAATGTGTAGATTTACTGAAATAACAAAAATGCTACTCAATAAAAATCTACATTGTAGCAGTAGTTTGATGGTGCCATTATAAAATTATGTACAGCAGTCAAAGAACAAGTACCTGATCTATGTGAAAGGCAATGTACAACATACAAACATGTGTTAAAAGATCTTTCTGATTCTTGAATGAAAGGCACTATTAGTAATAGCCAGATATATTGAAACTATTTACAAAACCTGGAGAACTTCTAATAGAGAGATACAACAAAGACATTTAAAATGAGATTGAACCATTTAAGTAAATCATTTTAAAGTAAAAAAAAATTACTGATTACATTTTCCCCTCTTCTAAGTATCTCGGGGCAACCAATATGGTCCTTCTCTTCCCTACCCCATAATTTAAAATGGTAAATTCATTTTATCCTCACAATCCCCCTGTGAAGTGGGTTACTCTGAGAGATAATGATTTGCCCCAAATCACCCTAAAAGCTTCACCCTACAAGCTTTAACCTCAACCTTTTTGGACTAATTTCCAAACATCACTATTTTTATTAAAATCTCTTCAGATTCCTACTGTAGTTAGTGTACCTGCTTGCTTTTAAGTGAGCAATGCAGACTTACTTAAGCAGGCCATTTTAAAGATTTGGTTTCCTAACACATTCTGCTGCTTTTAATAATTCTGCGTCCTTCTAAGCTACTGTTGTGCTTCATTGGTTTATCTTACTTTGCACTGTACTGGTTTTATGAAAGTTACCTTGTGCCTTACTACCAAAAGGCAAAGCAAGCATGAATAAATCCCTATATTAAAGTAGCTGATTTCACTTACAATGATGTGTACAATACCAAGGCCACGGTGATTAGATTGATACACTGCAAAAGACAGGTAGTACTCGAGGATTAAGGAGCCCTACTACAAGAGTAAAATATTAACAAGAAAAGTTGCATAGCTGACCTGCCAAGGGTAGAATAATGGTGTCTGATCCAAAGGGACTCTCAAAGGAGCAACAATAACCAACTCAAACAGAAGGCCAAGCAAAAGTGGAACAACGCCAGCCAGCAATATAGCAACTATTAATGTCTTCATTATCTAAAGGAGGGAAAAAGAAAAAAGCATCATCTACCAAAAATGTCATACAATACTTTTAAAAAATGTTTTCTTCTGTACTCCTTAAGGTTAAAACTAAGGAGTCTTCAACGACAGAGAAAAAGCAATGAGACTTAGAAAATGCTCAACAGATTACCTAAAATCAATAATTTCCAAAGCAAAGCTCTTTGGCCAGACACAGCAGCGAGCTCAAGGGAAGCAATAGAGGCCAAAACAGATGGAAGGCACCTTCCCTCTTACTGCCACATTGTAATTCAGGCTCAATTTAAACAACACTAAGTTGTTTAAATCTTCATGGATTGCTGCCTTGTTGTGGTGAAGGGGCTTGAGTAACTCAAGAGAAGCTATTGGCTATGCCGTGCAGGGACACCCAAGACGGAGAGGTAATAGTGGAGTATCCTGACTAAACGCGATCCACCTGGAGCAGGAATTGGAAAGCCACTCCAGTATCTTTGCCAAGAACACCCTCTGATCAGAAACAAAAAGCTAAAAGATATGACACTGGAAGATGAGCCCCACAGGTTGGAAGGCGTCCAACATGCTACTGAGGAAGAGTGGAGGACAAGGACAAGTAGCTCCAGAGCTAATGAAGTGGTTGGACCAAAGCCAAAAGGACGCTCAGCTGCGGACGTGTCTGGCAGTGAAAGAAAAGTCCGATACTACAAAGAAAAATACAGCACAGGAACCTGGAATGTAAGACCTATGAACTTGGCAAGTTGGATATAGTCAAACAGGAGATAGAAAGAATAAACATTGACATCCTTGGCGTCAGTGAACTAAAATGGACGGAAATGGGCGAATTCGATTCAGACGACTATCATATTTACTATTGTGGGCAAGAATCCCATAAAGAAATGGAGTAACCCTCACAGTCAACAAAAGAGTAGGAAAAGCTGTACTGGGATACAATCTCAAAAATGACAGAAAGATTTCAATACGAATCCAAGGCAGACCTGTCAACATCACAGCAATCCAAGTTTATGCTCCAACCACCAATGCTGAGGAGACTGAAACTGACCAATTCTATGAATACTTACAACACCTCCTAGAACTGACATCAAAGAAAGATGTTCTTCTCATACTAGGGGATTGGAATGCTAAAATAGGGAGTCAAGAGATAAAAGGAACAACAGGTAAGTTTGGC